GAAACAGATCCAGTTTCCGAAACATCATGTTTTTCTTAGTTATCTTAAATCCAGGACGATTGATGAAGTCTGAAAACCCAATATCTCTGTGTGTTTTTGTACCTGTTTTGATGTAGAAATAGGAATTTGGAATGATAAATTTGTAGCTGCCATATGTCATGTGGTAGGATAATGAGAAGTTACTCATTTTGCTCTGTGATGACGTACCATAAGGGAAAGGGGAAAGGAAGGTGCCTGAACTGGCAGATGTAGGAGTCTTATCTATCATCTTCTGTTAAAATATGAAGCACATGGTTCAAAGTGCAAATTTTTTTCAATAAATTTGATATTTTATTTATTTACAGTCTTTAATATTGTTAGCTTAATTGAAAATATTTTGTTGTATATGTTTATTTTCGATTTGTTTTATGGATACTTTCAAAGGTTTATTAATTTAAAAAACTAAAATTTTCCAATTTTTGTGCTCTTATGTCTCTAGCTTAATGTTCGGATGAAACTTTGAAGGGTAGCAGTAAAATTGTTATGTATTTTGTTTCATATATTTTGTAATGCCTAATACTCATATTCTTCTTGTTCCTTTGGTATTTACACTTTTATGTGGCTCATCTAATCGATATTTTATTTACGTCTTTTATCATATTAATAGATTATGGTATAAATGAAAGGACAAAGATAGCCCTGCGTTAGATATGCAGCTGTAGATAAATGAAATTTCCATTTTCATGTTCAGGTGCTGTTAGATAATTTCAGATTATATTATTCTATCAGTATTATCTTAAGCATTTTTTATTGTTAATTTTCAGACCAGATTATAGTTTCATTTAATTATTTGCCCATGTATTATATCGAGTCTTTCAGGTTTGACAGGAATGTCACTAAATATTCCAGATTGCCATGATTAATTGTAATAAATTCAGAAAATTACTAATTGTTTCACTTTTGGGTTACATATTTCATTTGCTAGGTATCTGTGGCAAGTCTTTATTTTAATTGCACTGCTGTATACAGTTTGTCAGTTTGTTACATATAGGTATATTCATTATTCATACTTTAATGTGATACTCTTCATTATGCATAATATTTTCCAATACTGTTTAGTGAAGACTGTGGAAAGCCATTACAAGTAATATGTTGTTATGTCTGGAAGCTTAAATTGCCAGGTTTAGAAGTAGTTTTTGCAAAATTGTTAGAAATGTTAAGTTGTGAACATTTACTATTTATGCATAATTTATCATTATTTATACCAACATGAATGTATGAGGGGTAGGCCTTCTCAGCCCTTGCACCGTGACCTACAGTGATCTATTGTGCTTTTTTATACCAACATAATACACTTCTCAGTTTTTACAGCTGATTGATATAATCATTTCTGTTTTTATGTAGGGTCAGGCAAAATCTTTGTTGTATAACATGGAGTAGAGTAAGTGTCTCTTATATGATAACTAGCATAAATTCCTTTGGATTTCAGTTGAAAATTGTCACTTTTCAGGATCAATATTCGATATCGAGCATAAAGTGTATTGCAAAAACAATTTCCTTTCATGTATATAATTCTTTGCCTATGAAAAGAAACGTCAACAAAAATACTGAACTTTAATAATTTGAAGTCCTAGAAAGACAGCTACATTTTACCAGGATGGAATAAGAGCATGCACTAAGTGGTAGTGCTATCTAGAGGTATGCTTAAACTTTTTTTTTGACAATGGTTGACACTGCAGCTCAGATTCAAGCATACCTTCCACTGCTGTTTATTACTGACTTCTCCTGTTCCTTTTCATAACTACTCCCAACTCTGACCACTGTTATATGAAAGAGCAACAAAGCATTACCCTGTTATGCATATGGGTTTGGTTTCAACTGAGCATGATGTAGACCATATTGCCTTTTAATTGCCTGAACAAGAATAATGTAAAATTTCAGTGTTTAACAATGCACGGTCAGTTTGCCAAGGAATAAATTGATCACTTCCAACAATGGATCTTTTCCTGGCTGGCCAACTTAATGCCATTCCTCTCCATGGTTTTTTAAGTTCCATTAGTGCGAAAGTGGCCAGTATTTTCTCTGTACCAGGAAGAGTATTGGCATGTACATTTGTGCCTTTCGTGCTCATTAAGAATGCGAACTTAATCGTGCTGTTTGATAGGATTTATTGTTTGTTGATTTTGTGTTGTTTTGTACCTCTTTTGATTTTAAATAGTCACTGTATTATAGCATTAAAAATTAATGTGTTTTTAAATGTGATTTAGTCAATATAATTTATGTGTTTATAATGTTTTAATATCTAGTTTGTAAGATAGGACTTACAAGAGATATTTTAGGTTCTGAAGTCCGGTTAACAACATTTTTTTACATAACCTATAAAACACCACAGTGTGATAGGATGCTGGAGTTCTTTCCAGACGCTGTGACTGAGTTGCTTGTTTGCTCAGCCTCTGCACTGGAGCGGGGGAACTGTGTATATTGTTATGACAGTATGAAATTCTGCACTGATCTTGCTGCTGGTGCATACATGCATATATACTCAGGGTTCAGTACCT